ATGCAGAAGGAAAAAATGATAAAGACAAAAATCAAGGAAAATAAACAATAAAAAAGAAATCACTAACAACCAAAGTTTTATCACTGAATAATAGTAACTAACTAATAAAAACAGGCAGATTTAAGTTATAAATATCAGAAATAACAGAAGAGACATCAGTACAGAGCCAACAGGCAGTAAAAATAATAGAGAATATTATAAATAACTTTAAGCCTATAAATTGTACAATTCAAAGCAAAATTTAACACAAAAGCCAAAATCTGAAGAGCTTTACAGATCTATTTTTAAAATTGAATTAACTTAAGCTGGCTTACAAACAAAACTGCAATTTTCTCTCATGAACTGCATAAAACATTTAAGGAAGAAATAAGTTGAATTCTATACAATATCTTTCAGAAAATAAGGAAGGAGGGAGCACTGGCCACTCCTATTCTGAGGCCAAAACTATGGCAATATAAAACCAGAAATATATTAAAACAATCGACATATCCTCATGAATATAAGTGCAATATTCTGATGCCTATGTCTGCATAAAGGCCTAATAACAGCTTTGCATTTGTGGAATCAAATACAATACAAAGTTTCTTACTACTCGGAGATCAATTTTATAGGCACCTTTAGAATTATCTGGATCATTTGAAGGCCTGTGTCCAAACACCTAGGATGTTATCTAGTAGAAAAAAGTCAAAAAGGAAACTTTGGAAAGTTCCTCTTTAACTTCAGCCTAAAAAAAAGAGTTCACAAACCAGGTGTGATGGCGCACACCTTTAATCCCAGCACTCGGGAGGCAGAGGCAGGCCGATCTCTGAGTTCAAGGCCACCCTGGTCTACATAGTGAGTTCCAGGACAGCTAGGGCTAAAGAGAAACCCTTTCTCAAAAAACCAAAAAAAAAAAAAAAAGAGTCTTTAAGTAAATACTTCTGTAGAACATATTCTCTAACAGGTACTACAGAAAACTTCTGAAAAACTAAATAGTAGAACACAGTATTTATCTCTTGACTGTGTGCTCATGTGTGTGTGTGTGTGTGTGTGTGTGTGTGTGTGTGTGTGTGTTTAAGACAAGGTCTTCCTGTCGTGGGAGCTGGCCTGGAACTCACTATGTAGGCCAGGCTGGCCTTGAACTCACAGAGATCCACCCACCTCTGCCTCTTGAGTGTTGGGATTAAAGGCATGAGCCACCATGCCCAGTATGTTCATTTTTATTCTACTTTTGCTCATTCATAGTTGCTATTAAAAATGTAAATATTTTCAATATGAAAAATTATTTTCTCTAAAAATAAACAAGAGGAGAAAATGGCTGTCCTACAATCTGAAGCACATTTTGAAAATGGAATATTTCATCTCACAGCCTGGGCATCTCAAATAGTCCAGATTTCCCAATATTTTTTGTGTCAAGACACACATTAAAAAATTGTCTTCAAGTCGGGTATGGTGGTGCATGACTGTAGTCCCAGCATTCGGGAGACAGAGGCTGCTAGATCTCTGTTGAGTCCAAGGCCAGCCTGGTCTACATAGTAAGTTCCAGGACAGCTGGGGCTACAGGAAGACGCTGTCTCAAAAACACAAAACACACACACAAAAAAAAAATCACGTCTAGATGGCATCTAACTAATGAGGTTCCTGGAAGCCAAAGGTAACCAGCTGTCAGTATCCACCCTGCCCCTAGAAGGATGATGGGCTCTCTCAGCATTCCTACAGTAGACAAGAAAACTCTGTCTCAAAATCAGACATGAGAAAAATCTGTTAACATAGAACATCTCTTATTTTTAAAAGTCTAATTCCATGAGTTATTTTTAGGTCATTATTTAAGACAGAAAAAAGATTAAATTACCATATCTATTTGCCTGGCAAGCAGATCCAAAACAAGTTGCACTCCACATTTCGAACATTCTCAAATGGCCTATCTTTTATAGAACAATAATTGAAAAATATCAAAGTGGAACCAAATAGCTCCTACTTCAGTTTGCAGACTCTGCAATATCTAGTTTCAAAAATGCATTAACCACAATCTGGCTCTTTTTCTCCAGGCACACACATGAAATATCATTTGGCATATGGGAGCTATTCCCATAAAGATGAGTCAGATAATAAGCAAATGATCATTACCTCACATTATACAAAATGGAAAGAAGCCATTAATGCAGCATTAAGGTCATAAATTCACACATTCAGAAGCCAACAAAATAAAGCATTAGTTCTCAATGCTTTAGCTCATCTATGCTGCCACATTAACTGTACACACTAAAAATTCTAACACACATAATTTGTGTGAAATACGGAACAGTTACACTTCCCATTTTCATGTTAACTTGTAGCTTTTCAGTTACTTACTGGCTAAGAGCAGGTACCTAATGCCAAAGCTCAAAAGGAAACACCCCCCCACCCCCATACATCTGGATCATTCCAATACTCTGAGCATGCTCCTAAGAAGCCTATCTCACTCCCCAAGCCTTAACCCAGCAAAAACACTGCATTGGTAAACAAGCATTTGAATAGTCCACATTCTTCTTCTGGAGACTTTTTGATCCTTATACATCCTTTAAATCAGATCTGACCTAATCTACTAACTACAGCTTGAAGAGAGTGCAGGAAGCAAATTCAGAATATGCCAGAGCTCCAGCTTTTAGATAGTCATACTTAAACACTATCTTTCTTTACACTATCCTCAAGAAGATAATCCTCAAAAAGGGCTTCTGATCAATACATATGGTCCTATTCCTGGTGGACATACACACAGTACACACCAGGAACACAAAGCATAACATGACAAGTACACAAAAATGCACAAATACAGTAGAGCATACAAAACATACCAATACATATCTATTCTTATGAGTTTCTAAAATTAATAATAGACAAACATATGCTCATTCATAAAAATCTCTTCACTAGTTACCAAGTGGTATTACCAACTTAAGAGAGTGGGAAAATCCATGTGACTACCATCTATCAGGAACATACTGAGCACTAGGAATCTTTTTAAGGGCTGAGTTAAAGAAGACCCCTCCCTTCAAGGAATTCACAATCTTGAAAGCTGGGCTTTCTTTTTAATTCCATTGATCATTGGTGCAATAGGGATTAGATACGACTACCCACTGAATACATTTTTCATATTTAACCACTTAGAAAAATTGATTTTTGTTCAATTTGTTTCATAACCTGAAATTTTTCCCCTTTTTTTCTTCGGTTCAAAATTATATCAAAATAATTCTATTATACTATAATTCAATACGTAAATTGTATTGTGCTTTATAAAGTATGGTTTTTAAAATAAAATTTTAAAAAATTTACAATCTGTTATGGTTTGAGGATGAACTATTCCTCACAGGATTAGGTATCTGAACATGTATTTGGTCCCCAGGTGGTGGTGCTACTTGGGAAGTTGTGGAAAGCAGATCACTAGCAGGTAGGCCTTTAAGTTCTAAAGCCCCATCCTGCTTCCTGCCTCCCCCTGCTTCCTTCTCCCCACTTCCTGCCTCCCACCTCCAGAATGTTTCCGGTCTCCTGAGAGCCATGCCTCTCTAGTCTAGTGGGCTATACCATCAGCCAGAATAAATTCTTTCATCCTTCTACCAAGCAATGACAAAAGTAATACACAATCTAATTGGAAATCAGAAAACTAAACAATTACAAAAGGAAAGTAAGTTGGGGCTAATGTTGAGATATAGTCACAAACAAATACCAGGGAAACATGAATACATACCAACGGTGGGGGAAAGGCAAGGAGAAAAGGTCTGCAAAAAGGGCTGATATTTCAAATGCAGGACTAATTAAGTCAATGTAAGGCAGGGGCTCCATGACAGAAGAGACTGTATCATGGCAAGAAAAGCACAGTGAGAGCATAGGTTTTACATGAGAGCACAGGACCTATGGCTCTTGTACCCTGAGTTAGAAAATATGAACTTGGGGCTGGAGAGATGGCTCAGAGGTTAAGAGCACTGACTGCTCTTGCAGAGGACCCGGGTTCGATTCCCAGCACCCACATGGCAACTACGAACTGTCCTTAACTCCAGTTCCAGAGGAATCCGAAGCCCTCTTCTGACCTCCACAGCATTGCATGACATGGGTGCCCTCACATACATGCAGACAATACACTCATACACATAAAATAAAAAAAATAAAATATTTTAAAAGGAAAATATGAACTTTACTCCACAGTCAATAGCAATCAACTGAGAAATTTTCGGTAGAAGTAACAGTAATAACAATAGCTTAACACACTGGACATGGTGGCACACACCTTTAATCCTAGCACTTGGGAGGCAGAGGCAGGTGGATCTCTGTGAGTTTGAGGGAACCTGATCTACATAGCAAGTTCCAGGCCCACTGGGTGCTACAGGGAAACCTTGTCTCAAAAAGACCAAAAAAACAGCTTAACACTTCCTAAGTAGTTATTATGTGTGACTATGTGAAGTTTTACGGTTTTACACACATTACCTCATATAATTTCTCCATAACTCAATCTTTTAAAATTATGTGCATAGTCCATACAAGTGAGACTCCAAGAGTGTGTTAGGTTTCTGTCAAAATACCTGAGATAATGAACTTTTAAGGAAAAATTAGTAAGAAGAATCAAATCCCAGACTGTTTTACTAGTTTTTATCTGAACAACTCTGAACTTACAATATTTATCTCCACCGGGCGTGGTGGTACAGGCCTTTAATCACAGCACTCAGGAGGCAGAGGCAGGCAGATCTCAGTGAGTTCAAGGCCATTCTGGTCTACATAGTGAGTTCTAGGACAGCTGGGGCTACAAAGAGACCCTGTCTCAAAAAGCCAAAAAAAAAAAAAAAAGAAAACAAATCAATTTTTACTTTGCCTATCTTAAAGCAAAATACATAAAAATCAAGAAGAATCAATTATAATTTCTCTGTGGTGTTTAATAAAGTCATAAAAAGTCTTATTAGTAAATGCTTACTTAATTTCTACTCAAACTTTAAAGAAAAATTGTAAAACATTACAGATTTAAACTTTTTTTATTTTTCAGTATTTTGGCATACCTTGACATTTCCCAATAATTGATGTAAAATCATCTTTGGCAGATCTGCAAAATATACAATAAATCAATGCAACAGTTTTAAACTAACAACACTCATATGTAAGTCTAGGAAACACCACAGATACTGTGGTCTAGACAGCTTCTATATACAACAGTAAATCGTTCCTTCTATCATAGAGGTAGATGGTTTTACCTCTCAAATTACATTCTTCTATTAAAAACACTCTTCTTACTGTTAGAGAAATGGGACTGCCTTGGGAAACAGTGGCAGCAGAAGTGAGCTTGGACACACTCTGCTAAAGCAACAGCAGTATCTGGAGCATGCTCCCAAAGGATCTGAGTCAGTAAATTTAGGATGGGAACCAAGTAAAAACATTTTGTAAAGCTCAAGTGATACTAGTTAAGAACCACTACTCTATATACCATACTACAAAGTCTTATCACACAGGAAAAAAAAAATCTTATTTTAATAACTCACAAAGTCTAAACCAGTGGCCAATTCGCAATCTGTGACTTTGAAATGCATTACAAAGTAGTACAATCATTCTAAACTATGTTCAAAACTGAAAACTGGTGAACCTTCTAGCACATAATTTAGCAACAATTACCAAAAACTTTAATGTCTAAAGCATTTCACCTAGTAATTTGACTTCTATAAAGTTCCTCCCAGGAAATAATTACAAATTTATATAGTTATCAAGGAAATTAATGCAGTCTAATTTATAAAGGAGAAAAACATATTGAGGATTAAAAGATTAATTAAATTTTCTACTCATATTCAATGAAATATTATGTAATTAGTCTACCTGACATGGAAAGATGTTCATAATACATTAATTTCAAAGGTTACCCAGAAATAAGTAATATAAATTAAAGGATATAAATTAAATTTATAAATCACAGGAGCAATTCACAAGTTGGTATCAAATAGAATATACAAAATTATTATTCACTAATGATACATATTTATATATACACATTGAAAAGACAAGTTTCAAAGAACATACACCAAAATAATAATAGTAAACAACATCAGATAGTCAAATACTAGGTAATTTCTAGCTCCTTCCCTCTACTTAACTGGATTTTCTAAATAATTTCTATAGTGACTAAGCATTACTTTTTAAATAATTTGGAAAAGTGTTAATATTTTTCTCTATTTTTCAAATATTGTTAGGTTGTGACTACCAAGGATTATAAATGCAGGAATAAATTTCCTCAAGACCACAGACTCAGCTGCCAAGCAGAATATGGCAGGAAAAATTCACTCTTTGAAATGAAGTTGATCTGATTCCAGCTCATTCTGTGTGACCTGGACAAAGAATTTAGCACTGTAAATAAAATGGGATGACAGCACCCTCACATAGCTTAGGAAAAATACTAAATGAGAGTTCAGTAAATGTTCATTACTTTCATCCTTATACCATTTCCCTTGGTTAGAGGAGATGGGGAGGTGTGTGTCTGTCTGTTTGTGTCTCTGTGTGTATATGTGTATAGCTCTGCTTTTAAAACTTCATAAATTATTCATTGGAAACAGTTATACAAACTTTGGGAGTAGGAATATTTATGTATCTTTTTCCTAAGAGTCTCTTCATGTTTTCTGTTGTGCTCTTTGACCGCTTCTAATTAGTTCCCACATTTATAGAAGCCAATAATCATAAGAAATTATTACTTCACTATTTAGGAAGTAAGGAAGCACATACTAACCATTTATAATTGGTAGCTGCTGCCAAATTAAAATGAAAGAAGCAATTCACAAGTTGTTTTTTATCCAACCAGCACAAGCAAGTTAAGGATGTCATGCTACAGGAAGTGACTAATAGCATTCAACACCACAAAAATAAAACTGGAAAACATCAACTCAAGTACTATGCTAAGCTATCTCTCAAAATTAAATTGCTCTAGCTTTTCATTTTTCTTAAGAACCATTTCCTCTTTAACTGCATCCTAATAGCAAATAATGGCTTGCGTGAGTAGAATCATCTTTCATACTCTAAACCTACCAAGACATATGTATTTACTGAACACCTATACTCAGTGTTACTACAGTTACTACTGAGGCAATCTCACATTGCACATCACCATGGTTTGAATGTAAAATGTTTTCCATAAGCCCATGTTCTCGAACACTTGGTCCCTAGCTGGTGGCTGTGTTTGAGAAAGTTGTGGAACCTTCAGGAGGCAGAAATTTGCTTAGGGAAAGGAGTCACTGGGGGGAAGCCTTGAGATTTTATAGCCTGGCCCCCACTTCATGTTCTCTTTCTACTTCCTGACTCCTGATGCAATATGACCAGCCAGCCTCATGCTCCTGCATTCCCACCATGATGGACTGTATCTCCTTGAAAGGGTAAACCAGAAGAAACTCTTTCTTCCTTAAGTTGCTTTGGTCAGGTTTTTGTCTCAACAGCATATGAAGTAAAAAAGACATATGTGTTCTTCACTGTGGTAGATAGGATGACTATGGATGAGAAAGAAGTGTCTTTAAAATTCAAAATAGATTCATGGTAGCACACACCTGTAATCCCAGCACTAAGAAGACTGAGGCAGTAGGATGGGGCCAGCCTGAGTCACACAGAAAGGGCCTGTCTCAAAATCAAAAGCTAAACAAATATTCAAGGATAATCACTCTTCATAAGAGTTTACTTTGGGGATCTCCTTGTCCTTTTTCTGTTGATCATTCCTCGTCTGTTGAAAAACACTTCCTTATAGGTTACTGCAAAATCAATACACATGCCTATGTTCATTCACCACATGCAACTGAATACCAACTCTGAGCAGTATAATAGACTATGCCCCTCATAATTCCCTCTCAGCATCTTTCTTCCTATTCCACTAGCAAAGACCGCACTTATTCATCACACGTAAACTAATAATTCCTAGTATGTTCATGGAAATGGCAAACAGGGAGTGACTTTGTTGGGGGGAGGTGGGGAAAGGGGGTAAGGAGTGCTGGGGATTGAACTCATGGCCCTGCACTAGATACGGAAGCGCTCTACCATTGATCTGCATCTTCAACCCTATGTTTATGTAAATATATCATACTGGGAAAAAGAGACAATCCCCAATTGCAAAGAAAACACAATAAAATCAGAGGTGCAGACTTCTGGTCCCATTTGCCCTGAGTTCCTGGTAAACAGTGCATGCTGGAGTTGTAGAACACAGAGGTCCTAAAACATAACGGGGAACACACAAACACTTATGGCAAAGCACAACACAGGTGAAGCAGAGAGCACAGAACCTGAAGCTACAAGAGCAGAACTGGATTTTTGGAGCCTACCATTTAAACATGCCAATTCCACATGTCTACAGTGAAGGAAAATCTACAAAATCTCCCAGGATTAGATTGCACTTGCAAATAATCTTTTCATCAAATTTTTCATTAACAAATTCTATTAATTCTTGGTCAAATTCTTCTCCTCAGGACTAAATATCTATCTTGACACCAAACACATGCCCTGAGTTTTACAATGAAAATCATTTCATCAATCTTCTCTTTTCAAGGGAAAAAAAAATGAAACAAATACTTTGTCTATGAACTGCTGTTTATAAGTAAGTTATACTATGAGTTCATTTCTCAAAAGCCGCTTCACAGTACTGCAGCAAATGGAAGAGAAACTGTTAGCTCATTCCTACAAGCAATGTAAATTCAAACACTGCCAATTTGATGCTGGATGATGTAAAAAAAAAAAAAATAGCCCATCATTTTACATAATTTGGAATGGAAAGGTTGTCAGCACAGCCATCATCATTACTTTCGTGGCTTATAAGGAATCAGAAAGCCTCCCCACCTGAACCAGTGCCCAGAATGGGGAAGACCTTCTTTATACTCCCCAAAAAGTTGAGGGAGCCCAGTCCTGCTTGGAT